GTTTCCATCTTTTTGCTATTGTAAATAGTGCTGTGATGAACATGGATGTGCATATATCTGTTCTTGACCTGGCTCTCATTTCTTTAGGATATATACCTAATCATGGGATTGCTGAATCAAATGGTATTTCTAATTGCAACTATTTAAGGAATCGCTACACTGCTTTCCAGAGCGGTTGTATCATTTGACAGTCCCACCAGCAGTGTATGAGAATTCCAATCTCTCCGCATCCTCACCATCATTCATTATTTTCTACCTTGTTGAATTTTGCTATTAGTGTTGGGGTAAGATGGTATCTCATTATTGTTTTGATTTGCATCTCTCTAATGGCTAATGACGGTGAACGTTTCTTCATGTGTTTGTTGACCGCCTAAATATCTTCTTTGGTGAAGTGTCTATTCATGTCTTCTGCCCATTTTTTAATTGGATTGTTTGTTTTTTTTGTTTTGAGGTCTTAGAATTTTCTATAAATTCTAGAGATAAGTCCCTTGTCAGATAGGTCATTGCTGAATATTTTTCCCCAATTGGTAGGTTCTCTTTACACTGTTTTTGGAGAAGCCAAATTAACTTCTCAATTTTTCTATTTTTAATTTCTAGATGTTCTAATTTATTCTCTTTTTTTTAATTTCTGGCCAATTTTGTTTTCTCATCATATTATAAATACTTGTGGCTCTTAAACACATTAGATATATATATTTATTTATATTCTGTATCTTATAATTTCAATACGTGAGTCTTGGTCAGAATTTATAGGTTTGTATGTGTATGTGTGTGTCTGATTTTCATTCATGGTGGCTTGTTTTCCTTTGTACTTAGAGATTTATAAAAAGTGGTCAGCTCATAGTTCTAGAATTTTATCTGAAGGAATTCTTTGTGCCTAGGTTTAAAGTGCATTTTTCCAAAGAGCATTTGCATTTGCTTCTATGAGTTGGAATCAACTCAATGGCATTGGTTTGGTTTAACGCCTGTTTGCATTACCAACTCAAGGTCACTTTAAACTACACTTAAAAAAAAATTATTGTGATTTGGGTGAAAGTTTACAGAGCAAATTCATCTTCCATACAGCAGTTCGCATACACTTTGTCTCATGACATTGACTGCAATCTCCCACAGTGCAACAGCTCCCTCCCATTTCCTCCCCATAGTTACCTCTTCCCTGTGTCCTTCTCTCCTGCTCTCCCCCACCCCCAGCTGTCTCCCTGTGCATACACAGCCCCTCTGTTCTCCCAAGATTGAGCTCTCCAAGGAGTGTATCTACCTAATATAAATGTTCAGCTCATATGCCTGTCTTTTGTTTGGCTGGAAGCCACAAGAGTGGAGAAGCTACATTTTCAGATTGGGACTTTTGTCATGCTGTTTGGGCAGAGCTAAGGTTGGGCAGTCCTACTTCCGTAGTGATACTGCCTCGGAAACCCAAGGAGGGGTCGCTATGAGTCGGGGCCGACTCAACGGCACATAACAACAACAACAACAAATTCTATCCCTAAATTTGTCTAGCATTAGCTTGTCATTTCTGCCTTCAATTTTTTTTTTTTTTGCTTTTTCATCAATTTAACCATACGTTATATATTATTTATAGAACTGTATTTTAGCCAAATTTTAGTTGGCTAAGAGTTCTGGTGGCGTAGTGCCTAAGCCATTTGACTGCTAACCAGAAGGCTGGAGGCTCAAACCCACCAGCGACTCCTCGGAAGGAAGATTGGACAATCTATTTCTGTAGAGACACTGCCTCGTAAAACCAAGGAGGGGTCGCTATGAGTTGGATCCAACTCAACAGCAGTGAGTTTGGGTTTTTTGGTTATGCAGGGAGGGGTTTTACTGAGAATCTAATCTGCCATATTGCCCTTACATAACATTGATCTGCCTATCCAGGCTCCAGTATCTTGCAGACACAATAATTGAAGTTTTAGAAAATATTATAAATATATCTATCACATGTTATATTGTTGTTTGTCATCAATTCTGAATAATAGCAACCCTACAGGGCAGGGTTTGTTGTTGTTGTTGTGTGCCCTCAAGTTGGACCCGACTCATAGTGACCCCTCCTTGGGTTTCTGAGGCAGTATCACTACGAAAGTAGATTGCCCCATCTTCCTTCCGAGGAGTGGCTGGTGGGTTTGAACCACCAGCTTTCTGGTTAGCAGTCAAGTGCTTTAGGGACTATGCTACCAGAGCTCCCACAGGGCAGGGTAGAACTACTCTATAGGGTTTCTTAGGCTATAATCCTTATGGGAACAGATGGGTCTTTTTTTTCCTGCAGAGTGACTGGCAGGTTCAAGCTGCTGCTGTTTGGTCACATTTTGCCACCAGGGTTCCATGTTATCTGGAAAGGCACACACACATCATCTCATTGTTCTAAATTACCTTGACTTTTTCAGGCACATTATTTCACATGTTTTAGAATCAGGTGTTCAATTAAAAACATATCTGTGGGGTGTTGATAGACATTTTGTTAATATATACTCTATCTATCTAAGGAGCTCTGGTGGCATAGTGGCTAAGGCACTTGAC